TGTACTTTTAAGGACAAAAGAGTTTGCAGCTTTCCTGATAAACTATTTTGAACGAGAACGTAACAGTAAATATCCTTTATTATTATTGACTGCAGTCAGAGAAGTAAGTTTGATTGAGTTGCATCGTTGTTTGATCCATCGCAATCTGGCAGCGCTGTCGCGAACGCTTGTCACTCAAAATTGATCACGTGCATCGGAAATTGTTTTGCGATTACTTTATATCTAAAAGGTTTATAAAATATGCACTACATTTCCGCTCATATTTTGTAAGAAAGGTTGGAGTGAAAATTCCACACCTGTAATTTTTAACCAATCAGAACGTGTTTTTTTGACAAATCACCATGGCAGCGGATAAATTTTAGTGATTTTTTTTTCCTTGTGGGCACCCAGAGAATAGGTACATTAAAGAAATGCTAACTTCATGTTAAAAATGGAAACAGACGCCATCTGGTGTCGCCTGGCAGTACTAGCTAAATTGAGAGGAATTGGAGGGGGGGCTTAAAGAGGGGAAATTTAAAAAAAAAAATTGTTATAAGTATCACTGACTTACTGTTTAAAGTTAATAAACATATTTTTTATTACTTTAATATAATTTAATGTATTAAAAAATATGTCTATTAACTTTACACTGCAAATCAATGATGTTATTAAAGACTTATTACTTTCAGAGAAAATTCATAGTAAATAAATTACACATTATTATAGTAAACAATATCATTTATTTGTTAGAGCTGCGATTTATATTACAATAATATTGAAATATATATATTTTTTTAACATTTTAACAATGAAAAAGAATATCCCGGAACCTGAAAAAGAAAGATGATCAATTAATGACTTAAATTAGTTCAAAATACATTTTGCAAATAACTAGTGAATTGGAAAGATAAACATACTATTAAAAAGACATTTTAGTATTATGTTATCATCTATTTACTGATAATACATAAGTATATAATAGGTAAATAACATGCATAAGGCACTATGATACAACTACCTGTATCATGATAACACACTAATATCACAAAAAATATATGCTAATTTAAATTCCTTTAATGATCTAATGAAACACTATCTAGCCTCAATGCATGCCATTCCAAAGTCAAAAAAAAACTGTTATACCAAATAAATATAAGCTGAATAAAACATAAACCAAGCCAACGTGCATAAACAACCAAAAAATGCATCAAAAAATACTTTTATCAGATCATATATTATGTATTTTATATATCGCACATCCCGTTCAAAAGTTTACTAACTCAAAATAGAGAATATAGAGAACATTGTCAGGAGAAGTAAAAGAAAATTTAAGTTAAGGCAATATGCTCCTTTTTGCATATTAATGGCCAAATAATATAATGTTGATTTAATAAAATTTTACTGGCATCCTTCTGAGGTATAAATCAGATTAAAAGGACATTGTTTTTGTAATAATTGTTTGTTTTGTAAACATTTTTTGAAGACAATACAGTTTTGAAAGGGCTGTGCGATATAAACAAGGATCTTACTATTATTTGAAGTTAGAAAGTATTTAAATAATATAAAACATAATCAAAATCATTTTTCATCATAAATTATAGAGGTACTTACGTGTTTTGATATTGTTATCAGGAAATAATACGTTTAGTTAAACAGGTGCGCTGCCAGGCAAGTTCTATCGGCGGGTCTTTGCAAAAGTTGAAATCTAAAAATACGTTTACATCTTAGTTGTATTTACGAATAAAGTATTTGTGTGTAATTTTTGACTTACCAGTTAACTGAATAATCGCATTAAATACATCCAAATGGTAATTTAATATTGTAAAAAAGCAAAATTGTTTTAAATCACTTGCCAGGACAGCCCGGCCAGCTTCTTTGTTGGCAAAATGGCCGCGGTATATCATGATTTAAGCAATGTGAGTGACAAAGAAAGCCAATGCCTGGCAGATGTTGCTTTCTTTTTCGTTGGTCCTGGCACGTTTAAATTTGACTGTTGCCTGTTTTCCCATACAAGTGACACCCCCCCAACAGCGAATTATACTGGAAATTTTTTGACGTTTATAATGACAGAATATATTTTTGGGAGTCTGGTTTTTATTTGTTTACATGATAGTTTTGATACATTTCAATTACAAAGCTGAGATGAAAGTTTGTAAACTGCTTCCATACGCTTGACTTCGATTTCCTAGCATTCGCGGGTGTCAACTGCTTAATCTCCTGGCGAATATTTTCTTTGCTTTCATGACCGAAGCGAAACATTTTTGTTAAGCCGTGCCGCTTGACAGCTTCAAAACTGAAATAGTTTTTAGGTTTGGGTGTCACTTAGTCCTTGTCATAGTAACTAAATAATCAATTCGACCAAAAATCGAAAAATACATTTTAATTATTTGATTTTCAAACACAATTTGGTGTGGAATTTTCTTACCGAATACCACACCAGGTCAAATTAAATCCGCACATTTTTTCTCGCTCATGAATATTTTTAGAAAATTATTTTTTTTAATTTAATTAATTTTCAAAATATTCATGAGCTCGAAAAAATTTCCGGAAATATGGAGTTGTTTCATAATACTGGTTCATCTTGTATCTAACTTTAAGTTTTGATTTTTTCTAAAACGACTAACTTTTTTGGAAAAAATGTTAGTCGTTAGTTCAATTGTTAAGGAGAAGTCCAACTGCAGTTTTGCTTAACATAAAGGAAACAAAGAAAAAGCAGCTCTTTCGATTGACGTAGTATGTTAAACATCGTATTCGAATGTTGCCCATCTTCACACAGAAACAGATATACGATATTATTCATGACGACATTCGCATTTCCGAAATAATAGATTCATAAAAAAATATATGACGTTTAAATTATGGAATATGCATTTTTACGATGTGTTGTTGGACATCTGTTGAATTGACGTTACAGCCGCCTTAGGAAGAATTCTAATTTATTAGCCTCACACACGTGTGTTTTTTGCACTGTAATAAGAACTTTTTCTACATAAACATAATATTGTTTTAATGATGATCATTGGTCAAGAGTAATTAAAATTGTTTACATAATGAATTATCACTGATGGTAAATAAAACATTTTATTTCATATCTCATTCATATCTTTTCTATTAATTATTTCAGATGCAATTATCATACACATCTTGATATTGATACGTCATAATAATAAATTATTATATTTTACTACTATTTTATTAATGTTCTCTAATTGTTGCAGTTAAACTTAAAAAAGATAGATGAATAAAGTGGATGAATAAGTATCATTGGTTAACTACAGAATGACCGTTATGATACTGAATGAAGTTAATACTACTGTTTAACTCTCAAACAATAAAATTGGGACTATTTTTAAATTTTTATATGGTAATAAATATTGCTAAGGCTGGTAAATGTTAGTCTTGGTTCGAGATTTCTGTATGTAAGAAGAGTACAATGCGTTTACAATGTACTGAACAAAGAGAGAACAGTAAACACGTTGCCAAACGTATGAAATAAACCGAGAAACTGTGCACATCGCTAAGAGACTTGTAAGGGGATATAAGCTTTGTTCAGGTTCTTGTTATTACCGATTCTGAACCGTCCTAGAACTCTACATCGCATGTGTAAATGAAATAACATCTTCATATTTCCTTCTGCGCATACGTATCACAGTTCTAGGACGGTTTGGAATCGGTGAAAAGAAAAACCCGAAGTAAGCTATAGCCGATTTGTCGCAGTCGACCGGTCGATCCAATCAGTACCTCTGTTAGTACTTAAGTTCTAGGGAAAGGTGTACATCATGCGTTTAGCTTCATGATTTAATTACGTCTCGTAATACTTTATTTGTTTATTTATTTACAAATCGTTGTAATTTTCCCTACATCTTGAAGTGCAAGTTAGAAACACTTGCATTTTTGGTAAAAATAAGTGGAATTGAGGTGTTCGACAGTGGTCGCGCTATTAGAACTCTGAATTCAAAAATCGATATCCCGAAATCTATTAGAAACAATTGATTGTAGTTTTTTCAAAAACTTTTTTAACATTTCTGCTATATTTTCCTCGCAGACGGTATGTGAAAATCTTTATAAATAAAAAGTTACACGATTGCTGAAAATTGCTATGCACTAAAAGTAAATGGATGGGAAACCTGCGTGCCTACATAGATATTCGCTTATTGTATGTTACCTAACAAGTCGGGTTCTGAGCTTTATTAAAACACCGTCTAAATTAAACTAAGGAGACTGGGGTGACACTCTGAAGAATACTGTCGCTTGCCGTTTAGTTTCTACTGCCAAGGACAGTATTTTTCATCGCTACCGATCGCTATTTAGTTACAGAGTTCCATCCCTGGAGCTCTTAAGGTACATTCAGGCTGAGAGCGTCGAGCGTCGCGTCCGCGTGTCGAAATGGAATCAGTTCACTTAAATTAGACCGTTCAGGCAGACAGAGTCGCGTTTGGCGTTGCGCTAGCGTCCGCTGAGCGTCGGGGTTCGAGTTCAATGAGGCGGACGCGACGCAAACGCGACGCGACGCTCGACGCTCTCAGCCCGAATGTACCTTTACTGTTACCATGTGTACGAGAATACACGCAACAGGTGAAACTCGAATACGCAAAACAAGCGAAGATGACAAGCTGGTACTGAATAAGCTGTGCTTCTTCTAAAGTTTCTGACTTATTTTATTCTTTATGAGTATATGAAATAATATTTAAACATTATTAATTTGTATTATCTTTAGGAAATTTAAGTATATTTGATGCACGTCTCTCGAAGCATTGACATGGTGTCTCGTGGTTCTACTAAAATGGTAACCAAATATTACATTCACATCTTATGACCAAAGAGGTACTTGTAGGTACGCGAATGAAACATATTTAACAACTCACCATATTCGATATCTGGTCCGATTGACGCTAGTACTGCTCGAAGAGCAGAATTTTAATTTAGCGATCCCACGTGTGATTTCTTTTTTTAGCAGTGTATTACGTTCAGTTATCCTCTTTGTTCTTTATTCGTTTATTACAATTTTTTTTCTGTTACAGTTTTGGGAAACGAACCGGTGGAAGTGCCAGGAGGCAGAATGAATGTTTCGTCCTTGAACCATCGGAGATGATTGTCGTAAGTGTTTTTCATAGTTTTGTAATTTAAGATTTTTGATGAAGAAAATTTAGCAAAAAATAATATATTCTATGGTTCAATTAAGTTTCAAAAAAAGAGGATATAGGATTTTATAGGGTTTTCTTAATCTGAACTGTGTGTGATTAATATTCATATGACAATTTGTTTTTATGTTAGGCCAGTGTCGTTGACTCATAATTTTTGATTAATTAAAATTTAAATTTTATTATTCGGCAAATATTGTTTGTAAAATTTATAACTAACATTTTCTAATCAAATTTTGAGTTTAATTACTTTAGAACAATTTCATGCTCTGGAACAAATTGTCATGCAATATATCTCTAAAGGCAATACCGGGTGCGTCTCAAAAGTGGCTCACCCCTATAACTTTTTTATTTTTTTTAGATAAACAACGAGATTTGGTATGTTAATTTATGACATAGATTATGATTGATTGACGTATTGAATTGTTTTTTGTCACTTCCTGTTTCATCGGAAATGACTACCACTTTTGACTTTTAAATGGAGCCCTCGGTATATTTTTATTTTATTCTATAAAAAATGACACTCTGCATAGAGTGACATGATATTATCATATGTCAACTTTTGACATTTTCGCTTAAAAAAATATCGTATTTTAAATTTCAATCTAGAGTGCCGTGGCTGTGTTAAAAATAATTTTTAATAAATGAGCCTTGGAAAAATAGATTTGATCGTCTAATGTTTTTCGTGTCTTGTCCTGGCCGGTTAAATTGTTGTGATGAACCACATATTACAATTTTAAATAAACCATATGCGAAAATGTCAAAACTTGACATATGATATGTCAATCTATTCAGAGCGTCATTTTCTAGTGAATAAAGTAAAAATAAAATACCAAGGGTGTCAAAAAATACCAAAAATCAAAAGTTGTAGTCATTTCCGGTGAAACAGGAAGTGACAAAAAATAATTGAATACAACAATCAATCCTACTTTATGTCATATACTAACCTACCAAATCTCGTTTTTTTTTCGAGAAAATAAAAAAGTTATAGTGGTGAGCCACTTTTGAGGCGCACCCGGTATAGCATAGGAAGATAAAGTAAGTCGTCAAAAATAATTTTAAATTTCGACCATAAATCGCAAGTAAATTAGTATAAGAATGATTTCGTTTGTTATTTTCCAGCAGTCTTTGACGCCGTTTTTTTTTCGATCATACGGTATATTTAATATTAAAAAGTATTATAAAATAGTATTATAATCAACACAAATTCTAAAATCCGTATCAATCTCAGGTTTAATAATAATGCACAAGTATAGGCAAACTTTAACCGGCTAATTCTGAATTCCTTCTGCGGTCAATGAAAAAACAAACAGGAACAAATAAAATCGGTATCTATATCGCCAAATAATAGTAATCCTACAAGTAGATAACCTTTGTTGACTTATTTCCGTTCAATGACTTCGAACGACAACCGTAATCGCGGATCCGCTCGATCGGATTTCTGACTAAGCCTGAATCACATTTCGCAGTTAATCATTAGATTTTCCACGAATTCCCATCTTAAATAATGCAGATAACAAAAACTATTTATATGAAAGTACTAATTAAATATTTTGAATCATTTTATTTGCCGAAATTCATAATTGAGAAAAGTGCAGTAACTGATAACAGAAACTAACAATCTGAAGAGCCCATGCAGATATATCTACATTTAAATTAAAAAATTAAATTCTGTGTATCGTGTGTTGAGCGTAAAAAAAAGTCAAAATTTTGACCTTTTTTTACGCTAAATACGTCATAAGAGCGTAAAAAAAAGTCAAAATTTTGACCTTTTTTTTACGCTCTTATGACCTGAGACAGTGATGTAGACATCTTAATGGAAAATCAAATGTATTAAAAAGAGATAAAACATGGGTTGATACATTTCTTCTATTATGCGGTATTGTCGGATTTTTCTAAATTAAAAATCAACATTTGAAATACCGTACCAATAGGCGTTTATGAAAAATGTTGCATCTAGGGTCTCTAGGTACTACTTCCAAGAGATCTCTAAAAATGTGTAGATTATTTATATTTTGAATAGGAATTTTTTGACGAAAAAAACATAAACTCCCCGACACAAAATTCCGCCATCCTAAAATTTTGACTGATGCTTCATTCAGAATCTCGTAATTAGTGGAATAAATTAGTAGTTTCAATTAGCGTAGAAGTTTGTTTCTCTGATTTGAATGTAAGCATTCAAAACGTCAAAGTTAGTGGTAGGAATTTTCGATTAGTGGAAAAAGTCAGGGGCGGGAAAGTGAAATAGCAAAACCGGTTCCACCGTTTCCACGGAAATCTCAAATAAAATAGTTCCAGCCCTAGCCACTAGGTGGTAGTGCAATTAATTTTTAGGTTAAGAAGTTGCTACTAGTTATTGCCAGATGGCGTTAAATCAGAAATTTTTTTGTAGTTTCCATAGTTTCCAACGGCCATTGTCATATTATTGTCAAATTCTCAAAAAATATTGTCATTGTCAGCGCCAATCATAATATTATCAAATAAATGATTATCAAAACGTTTTTCAAACTATAATTTGTTATATGTGTTTTAATTAGACAATTCCTTTTGTTTGTGGCCCTAAAAATATAATGTAAGTCTTTTATATTTGCCATCATTTAAGTACCTATTTATATTTACTCCATTTACAAAACTTTGGGCGTATTACGTTGGTAATAAACGATGCTTAAATATTTGACTTATAAATAAGAACTTTAAATAATAAATAATATTTCACATGTTTGGCTTTAATTTTATTTAATAATTGTATAAATTATACTGTTAAATCTTATTTTTTACACATCACAACAATACTTGTTATTAGTATTGTTGAATTTGTGTAAAAAATAAGATTTAATAATCAAATTTAATTATTTTAGAGTAAAATTCAACAAAAACGCTCATTTAAAAAGCCCGCGCTTCGATCCATTTAAGACAAGCCCTACTCAATAGATGGCGCCACTTCTGTAGGGCCATTTTTCAGTATGGCAGAGTCCATTCTTTTTCTAGCTAGGTATATTCTTTGGAAAAAGTTAACAAACTTTTGACTTTTCCACTAATTATACTTCAAAATTTGCGAGGAATGTCATTTTGGCCTTTGATTATCATCCGTCAAGAAAAAATGTGGTTAGAAATCAAAAGTTTATTGTTTAAATAGGCTTTCTCTATGGATACAACTGATTACTGCTAGGATATTTTATTAATTTTAATTGTCTTTTAAGCTTTATGTTTTATGTTTCTAAACTAACATTCATAGTTTCATCTACATATTGTCATCGTCTATAGTTTCTAGAATGTGCTCAGTATTCGAACAACTTTGCACGACAGGTTCCGCACATAGTTGTACATTTCATGCCGGCTTTACTGCAACTGCATCTTTTTACACAATCTTGTTTGCAGTTGCACGTTATTAATGACATAATCGAAGCAGGGGCGGGCGATTCTGTTGTATATAAAGGTGACAGGGTGTTGTTGATTTCCTTCCAGCCCCACTGGTCGGGTTTTATAGGTTGTTCTTGCCATATTTGTACTTGAAGATATGTTCTCCGAGAATGTTGCCTACCTGCAGCGGATATGGGAGGCAATTTTGATAAAAGTACCGTGCTGTTTACTTGACCAACTAACTTATTGAAACAAGCGCATCTTTGCTCACCAAGTCTCCCTTCAGATGATTGAAGTTTGTATAGTTTCAGTATAAACGTCTCTCCAGCTTTTTCAATTTCTTCAGGTGTTGACTTTGCGTTGTTAAAAATATCGACGATACTATCAAGGTCTTTTTCTTTATTAAAAATTTGTACGTGTTGTTTTCCTTTTCCAAAAAATCCTGATGTTGTGTCACACCCGCTAATAGTGTGAATAAATAAAATTGATTTTTTTAAATTACGTATAATACTGGATGATTGCAAGTCTCTCGAACTATACATTTGTTGTTTCACATTACCTATGGCTTCTTTCAGAAAAAGAACGTCTTTTTCATCGGGGGAAAGTGCTGCTAATAAAACAAGATCGACATCTTGTCCAACGACTAGAACTTTTTCATTTTTCTCAGATATTTTGATGGCAGTACGAATAATTTGAACATCAGCAAACAAGATTGTGTAAAAAGATGCAGTTGCATTAAAGCCGGCATGAAATGTACAACTATATGCGGAACCTGTCGTGGGCAAAGTTGTTCGAATACTGAGCACATTCTAGAAACTATAGACGATGACAATGTGTAGATGAAAGTATGAATGTTAGTTTAGTGGAATAGGCAATGCTTTTGTTTATATTATACAGTATTATATCTGTTGCGTGTATATTTAGCACGTTAAAATACCTTGGGAGTCTATAATTTGAAAGGCGACCTGTATTTTTTATTTTCAGTTATTGCTCGAAATGCATTGGATAAATATAAATAATGAATAGAACCTTTTTTGTAGCAAATTTTATAAGGAATATTTTTGACAAGAATAAAATTTTCTGTGCAACTAATGGTTTTCGAGAAAAACCACCGCAGTGCGTATTGGGGGTGAAGCTCACACTTTACAGTTAGGAACTTTTTTGATTTTAAAAAGTCTCCTTTTAGTACGTATAACCTCAACATATCAAAACTTTATAATTTTTTTCTCTAAATATGCTAATATCAACGTACTAACAATCATAATCGGATTACAAAATAAAAAGTACCTAATCAAACTTAGTCAAATTTTAAGGGTGGAGGAATGTTGTGCCGGGAAGTACATTTTATTTAAAAAACTACAACTTTATGTTTATGGTATATGGTCATGGAGTGTTTATGAAACCACTTTAGAAATAAAAAATGTCTATACCTATGTGGCGGATTCATCTCTCCAAAAAAAAACCCTATATGGATTTTTCGCCACTGCAAATAATAATAAAAAATAAATAAAATAAAAAAAATAAACAAAAATAAACCAATGAATAACAACAAACAAAAAATGTAATATACCAAATACCATGTCAATGCGATAAATT